GAAAAGCCACCCTAGCCAGGCAGGGATGAAGGGAGAAGGTGCTGGAAGTCACGGTGGGGACTGGCTTGGAGACCACACAGATGGCTGAGTGTTAGTTTTGATGGCGTCTGCCATACCTGAGGACTTCTGTCCCACACATTGGCCATGTGACCATGTTAGCAATGCATCCCCTGTGTGAGTGTGTTAGAAGGAAATCTTTTTGGAGGTACTACTGTGATTTTGCAGGACCTGTCACTCAAATCTAAAATGCAAACATCCTGAGGGTTGTACTATTCAAAGGACACATCTCTATACAAGAGCTTTGCTTAAAGAAGAGACAAAGGGAAACAAGGAGCAGCTGTGGTGAGCGGCTGCAGGCACTCCCTGGGGGTGGGGGGGCATCTAAGCCATGCAGGGCGGTTCTGGCCTGGCTCTCAGGATGCCAGTGGAAGGAGGGCTCCATCTGAGACACGGGGTAGAGTCAAGGGAGGCTCCAGAGAAGGTGACACAATGGCCCTCATACAGAACACACACCCTTAGAGTAGAGCTGAGGGAGCCCCACCTGTGCAGCAGCCAGAGCAAGGACCTCCTGTGTCCCTGCCTGCCCTAGTGTGGGGACAACCCGAGTTTTCCCATAGCATGAGAGTGATTTGCAGGAGCTTGCTTACACCAGGCTGGCTGTGGACCAGGCATGCTGCATTGACATGTGCTATGGCGGGCACGGGTTTGTGTGCTCTGTTGTTCATCCCCTGAATACGTGATTGGTTACATGGATCCCTTGTACACAGCATTGTGCCGTGTGTGCATGGGGAATGGGGTAGGGAGGAAGTTACCACAACTGAGGCATCCAGGGCTTTGCTTTTCAATCCTCCCTCATTGTAGCATTCCTGGAGTTTCTCAAAAGCCTCCCTTTCCTCGGCAGTCGGGTTAAACTTGCTAAGAAAGAGGTTCAACAATGTCTTGGATCCACTGAGCACTCCACCAAAGACTTCATAAAACAGGACACAAGCTTCCGCTGTAAACACAGACAGGAAGCCATCATTAAAGGATCCCCAGGCTGGAGAAGCAGACATTCACATTTTCCAGCCACATCTACAAATGTCTTAAGTGACCCTCCACACAGTCCTGCCCTCCCGAGGCTGCTGCCTCCCAGACACAGCACACAGTTTCCATAGACACGCACTCTCAGCAGAAGGGGATAAATGAGTG